ATCTACACAATTTCATTGAGACACCTGCTTTCTACATAAAACTAAATACCACATCTGCGGCATAATCTATAGCACATAACACAGCGTTTTACACACATACCAATTCTCTATTTCACTTCTGCAATTTTAAGTGTTGATGAAGTTGCCAAAGAAGTCACGTTATATACAACAAACGTTCAGTTTAAATAAGGGATAAGCTTTCTGTTAACAACTTAGTTTGAAATGTTAACAACCCTTAGGCTGTTAACATAACAACTGGCCATTAATGTGGTAATGACCAATTTAAGAGGAAATTGTACTCTAAGAAATGAATATATTGGCAATCAGGAGGAGGGTTTATATTTGAAAGAGTACAAAATATTTTTAATGAGTTAACTAGCATTAAAAGTTGGAGCTTAACAGAAATTAACTAAAAGTTATTCCACAAAAAGCCATACACTCTTTTAGAGGTATAAAGATTTCTGATATGAAAACTATTTTGATAAATTCTCTTCAACAAAACACGTACTTGAGACTAAGTGAGTACCGGTTTAACATCATATTTTTTCCTACCGTAAGGAGAAATAAAACAAATCTAAGGTTACTTGCTCTGCTCGCTGCTATGTTGACAACCGCAAAGCAGTTTCACTCACAGTACAGGTATTTCATTGGCGAATTTATCTTTTTGATTTTAAAAGCCCAGAAATTTCAAGCAACTTTCTTTAAAGTTTACTTAGTTTTGTTTTTTTTTGTTTATGAAAACACCTGGGCTACATAAACTCCTTGTTTGGAATTATAACATGAATCCACTTGAGATACTGAAATTGTAAACAAATATAAAAGTCAAAAGGAGTCAAAAAGCTTTGACTATCAGTGAGCATAGGTAAAGCGAAACTAGAAAGCAATGTGAAATCACGAAGAGCAAATGCAAATGCTCTATGTGGAAATGAGGCTCTCATTCACAAGGAGCGGAGGAGAAATTTTTATTTCAAAGAGAAAAGTTCAAAGACTGGAGAGTTCTAAAAGAAATCACATTATACGTTAATTCTGATTAGTTGTGCCAACACAATGAGGAAAATTCTGGGTGGGGAGTTACTTCTCACTGTTCGCACCTTGCATGCATTTTGTGCTCTTGGAACACAGAGAAGTAGTAACAAGTGGTAATAATTAGTCAGGAGGCTGTCAGAGGAGGCAGTCCTAAGAGCGAGAAAGAGTCGAATTTGATAAACAGTATTAGTTTCACCCTCTTGTAACTACTATTAATCAAGCAATACATTTTTACATATAAAGATTGAATCTGACTGAAACTAACTGAATTATATACTAAGAAGGACCAAATTCTTTAGATAACACCTCCCCCAGTGACCAAGATGGTTAAGGAGTTACTGCTGATTGATAAATTTTGTGTCATAAGGGAAAAAATTCAAAATAAATCGCTTAATGTCAGACTAGAAAAATGATTAATTGTATTAAATATGAAAACCCAAATGATGCCATATATCATTTCCCTAATTTGATAGATCCTACTTTATTAATATAAGTAATTTGCAGCTGAAGCAAGTCACGAAGTTGCCTGAAAAGCAAAATAATTTTTCTTCAACAGAAGTTCTGTGTTGAGTCCTTAATGCTGGGCAACAAGTTTAGTTGGCTTCATGGCTTCATAACCTGCATTGTCCTGAAACTGTTCAGATGGTTACAGTTTGGAGTGTGGCTATCATTTCCCCATAATGATGGGGGTCTTTATTATTATTCGTAAAACTACTGGTAAGTCTGAGGCTGTTCAATGCTCAGTGATGTCTTTGTGATGACCATATAGAAGGTCATGGGTGGCGGGGAGATATATCTACTCTTGGGGAAAGTTTTCAAAACCGTACAATAAATACACTAGTAATTACCAGTTAAGAATTTGTACCTGACTGCCTCTGACAAACCTGAAACAGAAAGGATAGCTGAATAACCTTAGAAGAATAAATTCAAGTCCAACTAAGAAAGAGGCAATAGTTAGGCTATTTTACATAGTATGTTGTTCAAGTTAGACTTTTAAAAAAATAAAGAGTTAAAGTGTTTCACCAAACAACTAATCCACTTCTTTGTGTTATGCTCAGACTACCTTTCTTCTTAGGTTCTAAGGAGAAACTTGCATGCTGATTGCTACCAAACACATCCTTGACACTAGCCGGCTGCTTCAATACAGGCCGTGGAATAACTAATTCCTAAACATGAGTACGCAGGCAAGCCAAGTTGAAACATTTTAGACATTGTGGTTTGTTAGCGGTTCTTTAAGTAATTTAGGTAGCACACACTAGGCAACATTTTAAAGGCTGACAGGTCAACATCTTTCAGGAATATAAGCTGGTAGTAGGGAAATAAAACAAACAAACAAAAAATACACTTACAAAAGTACTTTAAAAGGCATCCAGTCATCACTGGTGTGCAAGGATAATTCCTACCTCAGATAGTCTCTGCGACAAAGGATAAGATTAGCTTTAGTGTACAGGGTGGAGCCCACCTCTCCCAAGCGACAGTCACAGCAGGCACACTTCAGGCAGTCTTCATGCCAGTATTTGTCCAGTGCCTTTAGAAGATACCGGTCCTTGATCTTTCGGTTGCAGCCAGCACAACCTTTCGGCTTGGTGTCTGGCTGGACTGAGAGCATTTGTATACCTAAAGGAAGACAAAAACAAAAACAGAGAGCTGAGACTGCCAGACAGAATAAAAAGATGTCAAAAGACCTCAGACAAGTTAAATATTTAATATTGCCTTCTTCTACAAGTGTTAGATTTTCTTTTTTTAGGGCTGTACTCAAACTAAATTTTGGGAGCAAAAAGTCTCAAACTTTATAAAGTCCTTATTAAATCATTTATAAGGACACACATATAAAATGGTAATAATGATTTCACGTTGTACGTGTCAAGCTGACATTACAAATATGAAGTGAAATAACATGGAATCATTTCGTAGTGTCCTCATTCTCCAGAGTAGCTCCTTGAGGAAGAAGATGTGAGGGAATGGCTAACAGTCTGAAAAGAAAGCTCTTTAACGAACGAATCCATGCACAGTCTACAGAAGTCAAAAACGAGTTGTGCATAAGTAGTTAAAAATTTCACTTAATATGTACTTGATGGTGGAAAGAGAGTGTACCCAGTACAGTACTGCATTAACCGTACTCAGCAGTAGAGGTGTTTATAGTTAACTACACATTACAGCCTCCCCCAAAGCGTACCTACCCTGTTTTCTTATTTGCATCCAAATATTTCCTTCTGTGTCCTTGATATTTCAAAATATTTATTATGTTAAAATAAAAAAGATTTATACTCACAAGCATCAGTCAGTGCCTATATTAATGGCAGATTACTTAACTATATACTGCACGCTTTTATCTAAAACTAATGCATAGGATTATATAATTTATCACCATAAACAGTCACGTATTTATTTTATAGGGGAAAAAAGAAACAATAGAAGGCAACATCCAAATATATTAATATATAAAATTATACAAACACATAAATATATTATTTACATATGTTATACATACTATGCGAGACATACGGGCATTTATATATTTTATAGATCATCACCATCATAAATAAGGAATCTAGTTGCGTTCTATGGGTCTTACAACTTGATTGAAATCTTTCCAATGAATGGATATACACCTTTGAGTTTCGTCTTATTTCCTGGGTATTAAATGCCCAGCCTCAAAAAGAACCTGGACCAACTATTCAAAGCCTCATATTTCTCAAATAACTAATTTTAAGCACTATAAAATACTGCAGACATCATCAATTCCAAATTCCCTCATTTTACAAATTATGTTACAGAGGCCCAAGAGAGGTTAAGGGACTCGCTCAAAGCTGAATGACAATTGAGCTGTGGACCTTCTTATGTAGTTCAGTGATCCTTGTGTTATACCACGCTCCCTATCCTAGGCACCAAGTCTGAAACTGGGATGTAGAAGGACACAACACACCAAATGTGCATGCATTTGAAAGAGTTTCAAGAAAAGAAATCCCAGGCTATAATCTGCATTTTTTTGTGCATTTCCCTTCTCCAAAATAGTTAAACCTTCTCCAGTTTCTTCTGATACCTTATGATGAAGGCTTCACCTCCATCATAACCTTCACCACTTTTTTTTAAAAAAAAATCACACTAATAAGGGACATCAAGGCATCCCCATAGCTGAATAACTTTTCTAGTGACAGATAATACATGAATTACACATAATATTGTTATGATCTTGAACTTTCATTAGAAAATAACTTGTCTGGTAGAGCAGTAGAGCAGGGAATGGCAGGGAAAAAAGCAGGGTAGCTGCTCTTTCTGCATCATATGCATAGCCGTAGTCACCGGAGCTGCAGACTAGCAGCTGGATTTGTACAGAAGAGCAGGTGGTATCCCTATAGCCTGCTTTCTGTTCCCTTCCTTTGAAGGAGCTAAGGGCCTAGTGTAGATTAATCATAACCCTTGATAGCTCTGCTAAATCTCACTCTCTAGAACTTCTAACAAATGAAGTTTCTTTGATCAGAACTAGTTATCCTCTCCTAGCAAGGTTCCATAAGGAATGAATCCCATCAATTACAGTGCAGAATAGACCCAAGTGCCTCTTAACCATATACCTGGGGGGAGGGAGAAATTTTGATTTACTAAATGAAATTCTGGATTTCATTATTGAAAACATCCAGAGATATATTAAGTAAAGCTCTTCTAATTCTCTAGTTTATAAGATTATTATTTTTTTAAACCACAAAGCTCAAAGATGAAATTTTTTTTTAATCCTTCTTAATAGTAGCTAAGCTATACTTCTCATAGTTGTGTTTCTATCATCAAGTGTAGAAGGTCACTATCTTTATTCAAAATGCTTTGCAACCAAGATAGGGGATACCAACATTTGGCACAAGAAACACTATCCTGCTTGTCTGCACAAAATGTTTTTGTTGTGTTGACATTTTAATTTAGCACTCGGAGGCCAATTAATATTTGAAACTCTTACATTCTGTTTGGCCTTGGGCATAAAAGGAGTTTGATATTATACACTCCATCCCGGTACCTTCTTTTAGAGAACATCATGGCATTTCTCTTAAAAATGGAATCTTTTAAATTCTGGGCAAGTTAGCAATTGTAGAAAAAGAACTATATTGTAGTCACCACATTGCCATGTACCCAAAAGGCATAAAGCAGTCAGCGGCCTCCCCTCTTCCTCCAGAAGAACACGTCTGGGTAGAGTTATGTGTTCGGAGCTGAGAAACATTTCACAAGTTGCTCATAGCACATCAGAACTCATAACTAGTTTTAGATTGGCATGTAAATTGTTCTGAGGGAAATTCTTATTGCCTCTGAGACCCTGCCATTCTGAGTTATTTGACAGTTTAAGGGAAATCATAATTAAAAAAAAGACATAAATAATAGCCTGTGCAGTGTGGTGTGCAGAAATAAGTAGAACCATTTCATTTAAACTCTGGTGAGCTTTTAATTGCCTGGATTGCATTGTGAGGCGGCCTAACGGTTGATTGCCTCCATTATGTTCCCTTGTTCTGTGCCATTCATCCGCACAGTCTCAGCTTCAGTAGTTAACACAACAAAGTAACCACAACTCCACAACACACAGGGGTTTAAAAAATAATAATAATAATAAAAGATTTGCAGCACTTAGACACAGTCTTTTATATTTTTGGACTAACTACACAGAGTGAATGGAAAACATTTTGTCCCTGTCGGAAAATTCACAGAGAACAATTTGGGAGAGGGAACAGGAAGAGGGAATACATAAAGGGGGTTGGAAGAGACGAGGTGCCTCAGAAAGATGCTAAAATGGGAATGCAGGTTCTGCAGCTGGGAGCAGTGACACAGATTAAAAGAATTTGGCCAACACGGCCATTCGATTGCCAAGAGGTACCAAACAAAAGATTTTCTCTCCTCCTGCCCATCTTCATCCTCTCCCCAGCCCCCAACCTGGATTGGAAAACTGGATTGGGCCTAAAAGCTTGTTTCTCTCTGTTCACTGGCCCAGAGCATCCCTACAGGCTGCAGCCCCCTAAGGGACAACAATGCAAATAGATGTCCCCAGATCTCAGGCACTGGAGCTGCTTAACTCTGTTCTGCCCCTTCAACTCCCACCCCCCTCCCTTACCCTCCACCCCCCTTCCCTTTTTGAGCAATGGAGCTGGGAACCAATTTGATTCCCTTTTTCTCCAATGCAGCTGCAAGGCTCAGAGATACTGACATTTTTCCACTCTTATCAGTTTAATTACAGTTACCATGGCAGCAAAGTGCTAGTGCTTGGCAAAGGCCAACAAGAGATTTGCAAGACTGAGTTCAATTTTGATGCAGCTCACATGCAAAATAAAAAAAAAAAAAAATAAGAAACATACATACACTCTAACAAAGAATCCCTTGCGGAGTTTATGCTCCAGCCTTTTGTGGTTGGGTCTCTGCAGCCACACAGGGATGGTTTGCAAAGAATGTAGCAGTATTTGTTGCACCTAGCAAGATTAATTGGTTTAAGCAGCGGTCTTTCAAAACAGTTACAACAATAATATTTCGGATCTTTTAGAAAGACACAAAAGCAGAGAAAGGGCAGAAAGGCTTTTGAGCAGCCAAGAGTGCAGAGCGCCGGCAAAGTGCATCTATGATAGATTGTAACCTTACCAAAACTTTTCTCCTTTTTCTGCATGAGTTGACTTAGGCGTGCTGGAGTTGCAGCAGCTTCGCATTGAGCACCAAGCCCAAAGGTAGAAGTGGAAGGGGGTCTCCTCGATCTGGCTCAAGTGTGGACCTGGTGCGCAGCCTACACTGCCGAGGACCGACTATTGTGAAGCCACTTTGGGAGCAGGTCGGAGTGGCGGCAGGGGGTGGGGGAAGGGATGAGGGCGGCCAGACAAGACACCGCGCACACACGGAGCCCCTCGCGGTGTGGCAGTGTGCAAAATGATGGCGAATGACAAAGCCACTTGCTTCTCTAACTCTGCCCATAATCCTAAAATCCCAGCGGCCCCTTTTAGCTTCCTGGTAACAAATGGATTTGATTAAACTGTCACATGCAGCGTTAGCATAGCATATCATGTTCAATATGAAAAAGATCATAAATCTGACTTGTATTTCATAACAGCAATCTGGGTAGCCCCCGTAAAAATGTGCTGCATCAGTTTGAATCTCAACCTATTAGGACACGGGCACCTTGTTCCAGGGACCCTCTCTCCTCCGGCCACTTCTCCCCCCACCCCCAATCCCCAAACGTAGTCACTTTTCCATCGCCAAGGAGCAACATTTTGTTATTATGGCTGCGTGGGGAGAGACAGAAGTGTCAACTTGAACCAGAAGATTGCAATTTCAACTCTTTTCTTGGGGAGGTGGGGGAGGAGTGTCACAAATTCCAGCAAGTCAGCGGGGAGGGGTCTGCCAACCCACCCAGGACTGAATTTCCTTCCTACGGGCTGGGAGCAAACATTCCCTAATTCCAAACTCTCCCTGCTCCTCTCTCCCCGGGAGTCAGGGGTGTGGAAATGCTGCAGTTCATGGTGAACTTTGACTATTATCCACTCAAGTCGTACTTGAGACGTTCCGCGCCGCAGCCGCTCTGCCTCCTTCCATCAACCTCTTCCGCCTGCATCTATTTCATGTCTCATCATAAAAATAATGAAGCCTCACATGATTTAAACAAAACCGTCTCAGTAAAGCCGCAGCCCGAGCGAAAGTTGCAGTGCGGAGCTGGGTTGCAGCTCCAGTTTATGCCTCATTAGGAGAGGCTGGGGAAGAAAAAAATACCCACATCCGCACACGCACGCGCGCACCCGCAGACACACACACCGCAAATAAGCCGACGCGTGTGTACACAGTTGCTGCACTTACCTTCTCAATTAAGCGATACAGGGGGAGGCCGTTCAGTAAGCACAGTGGCTGCTTTGTAGCGCTTCTCCTTGGGAAAGGTCAAAAAGAAGCATTGTTTGAAAAAAAAAAAAAAAGACGGGGGAGGGAATCTCTTTTTTTTTTTTTTTTTTAAGTTTAAAATAATGAGGTCCTCAAGGATCCGCCAAGTAATGGTGTTGACCGCATCTGAGCCACAGGTGTTCTCCTTTTAGGCAACCGCAGTCCGAGGCTGTCTCTCTCCGTCCTGGCTCAAAACCACTTACCCCAGCGGCGTGCGAGGAGCCGAGCAGAAGGAAGCCCCGGCTCTCAGCTGCAAAATGCAATCCCTTCCCAGCCAGACATAATACAGCCGAAGAAAAGGTCACTCAGTTATTACCGAGCCGGCGGAGCCCAGGCAGCGCTTGTCAAGACCACAGAGAAGCAGCTCCCTTCCGATTTAAGACTATTTACCTCTCGCCCCCACCCCTCCCCTCTTCTCTCCTTTCCTTCTCTCCCTCCCTCTCTCGCCGGCTCCCTCGCTCGCTCTCGTGTGCCTGTTCTGCAGCTCAGTCAAGTACAGCCGCCCTCGGAAAGTGCAAAGCAGCCACGAGACAGATCGGGCTTTGTTGCTAATTTCCCAGGGTGAAAATTTACAAGCCTGCGAGTGCAGTCAGCCCAACCACTTGCATATGCTACTCACAAACGCTGGGGACGACCCCGCACACAAAATGTGACCTCTGCGGGAGTCGACTGAGGAAGGACCCTACCTCCAGGACCCGTCCAAAAGAAGAACTCCTGCGAAAGAGCTCCGGAGGAAAAGGATAGGGTTCCTAAAATAACCAGGGCATTTTGGAATTAGGTGGCCACATTTAAAGCAAATTGTCTTCCAGAGCCATTTCTGAAGCTACCAATTATGGGAATTAAAATAAAAGCAAGAGAATCAAACTGCTACCAGAATACACTGGAAAAGCACTCAACTCTCCCCTTTAAGAAATGTCTGCGGGGTGGCTGCAGTTGCCCGGTCTCTGACTGCCATTCATGAACTCTGTCGAGTCGCTGCTCCTAAGTAAGTAAGTCTGCCATACAAGCCTGGTCCAGCGGGGGACACACACACACCCCTTCCTCCCTTCCTCTAATGGCCCAAGAACCAAACTGTGAACTTGCTCCCCATGCACTAATGCTGAACCGCTTCCCACCCCCCCCACCCCTGAAACACACACTTCCTGCAATTACTTGAATTCCTTACTATTTAAAACTCACAGGCTCCAATGAAAAACACCCAAGAGCACCGAGAAACATGTTTTCAGGACTAACTTGGTCAAAGAAACAGTTTCTCCTCCATTTACCATCTTGTCTCCATTGGCTTGTTTTAAGGCCTTGACAGATTTTTTTTTTTCTTGAAATAGGTCCCATTCTCCCTAAGCTTCTCTTCTCTTAACTTCACTTTGCATCTGTAAAGGACATTGGTAGCCTTAAAATATCTTCTTATTTTTCTAAGTTCTCAAACTTCAAACTCATCCTCTCTTCTCGCTGCTATTAAAGCACCCTCACCAGATTTTACAAAGCTTTGTCAAAGGTCAAGCTTAAAAATAGTCCAAATTTGAATGACACTCACTGAAATGTTTTAAGAGCCAAGAAAGATTCAATTGTTGAACTACAAAAAACTTTTTTTCCTGCAGCATCAGTTTTAATCTAGTTCTAGTTTAAAAAAAAAAAAATCAAAGCACCCCCCATGAATAGTTAAGCTAAATTATGCTTCTCTTCATAAAGAATAATGGCAAACATTGATAACTTAGTTTTTATCCCCTCCCTTTTGAAGGCT